ATTAATTCATTGGAGAAAGCACAAGGCTTAATAAAGGCAAACTGATTTTCTTTATGTTGTCTTTTATCCTGAATCATATAACTTTAGGATATTCAATGTGATTGATCTAACGATTCTAAAAGGAGGACCGTATATTTAGACTTTGCAATATTGTATATTTCAGCAAGCCAAATGGTTTTCTGATTAGCTTATGATGAGGTTAGAATCAAAGATCAGAAACTACCATGTTCTCATGATATCGAAAAGCGTTTGTCTTCACCAACGCATTCAGAGATTCTCTACCTTACAAGAAGTGGTGATTCAATAAGGTGAGAAATTTTAAATATGTTCAGATAAGCTTCCAAAGATATATAGATATATATATACTGAATATATATATATATATATATATATATATATATACAGAATATATACTAAATATGCATATTATTTCTGGAAAGCTTTCAAGAAGGGAAACTGGAGTCAGTGGGAGTTCTTTGTGTTGAAGACTAACTTGGGGTTGCCTGGGAAAACAGGAGTCTGACTCAAATGGTTTCAAATAGTCCTATGCCTGATGTGCTACAAGAATCACTGTTCCAACTGCATTCTGGTACCAGCTTGCTGAAGCAGGTGGAGGTGAGATACCTGGACAGGGCAGCTCTGGCATCCCATCTGAAGTGTCTCAGGGCAACACCACCTCCTCCCTGAAAGGCCAAATGTCCCAGTCGTAGCTGCAGGGCCACAGCAGAACTGTCTGCAAGCCTGTGGCTGTAGCTTGTTTACTTGGTGAGCCATTCTCTCCACGCTGTGATCCAATGGCATTTCCTGTTTCCATTTTCATTTTCAAAGCAAACAAATGCTACCCTCCTCAGATTCCAAGGAGCGAGACTTCCCTCCTCTTGGGAAGGTCTTGCCTTGTCTGGGCTCTCTGGATGCCATCCTTACGTCTGTTGTGCAGCTATTAAGCCTAGTGGCAAACACTTGCATTGGACATAATGGAGACAGGTGTTGTGCAAGCTTCCCCCTCAGGCAGCTTGTGCAGGATGCGTCCCTCCTGATCTCAAACATCCACCCACTGTTATTCCCATTTTAGACATCTCTGGAGCAGAGAGCAGTGTACTCTGCAGATGTAATTAGGATTTACCGAAACAAATAAAACAGACAGGATCACTCTGAATGCCAAAGGTAAACTAATCTGAAAAAAAAAAGATACACTAATCTGTATACACCACCCACTTCCAACTATTCTCTAAAGTGCTGTAAATATTGGGTTTTCTGTTTTGGGGGGATTGTGATACTTATCTAAGGAAAGAAAAACCAAAGCAAGATCCCAAGCCTGCTGGAGCTGGAGCTGGAGCTGGAGCTGCTGCCCTCCCCCTACTTAGCTCTACAGGACTCTCAGTGCGCATCATCATGTCTCTAGCCCCTCCTAGGCCTCACAGCGATTTCCTCCAATCACATCAATATCGGCAAATATATTTAGCCACTCGAGGTATTACTTCAAACACTACTGCATTTGATCTTCAAATATAAGATTGTTCAGTCTGACGCCTGTCTTTTGAAGTCAGAGCAAGAAAGGTCGGTTGCTTTGTGACAATTTTGTGGTATTTCTAAACCAGGTTGCTTTTCCTAAGATTAGGGAACCAAGTAAAATTAAATAATAGAATGAGGAAGCTGATGGCTGGAACACAATGTATTAAAGTTATCCGGGTTTCAATAAAAGTCTTATTTCATAATAATATTGCATCTTTATAACACATTTATTCCTTTTTTGCTGCCCCATATTTTATAAATTTTTCTCTTAATATCACAGCAATGGGTTCTCAACCTTTTCAAATAGGATAATCACTTCCACATGAAAATGGTTATAAACCTTCACCTGAATCTGTGACAGTAATTGTACCTTTATTAGTGGCCACTTGAACACAAAACATGAAAAAAGGCCTCTCAGAACTTAGTTACACTTCTATCTAGAAGTACCATTTATCATAACAGCATTTTGCATTTAAAAACAGCAGCCCATAATCTACAAAAACATAATATTGATTCAGCCTAAAAACAATGCTTTAATGTACATGTATATTCATGGACCATTCAAGCTGTCTGTGAACCATAGGTTAAAAATAACTAATCTAGAAAGACCACAATTTATACCCTGTGACGCAGTTTCTATGAGATGGTGCCTTTCCTCCACTCTGGTTTTTAGGAAGCAACTTATTTTGTCCTTGAAAAAAAAAGGTTAATCTAATTTTCTTAATCTGATAAATTCCCTAGGGCATTATAACTGTTCCCTAATTAAACAGCACTTTACAGAAAATCTAGAGCAAGACTCTGAGGGGAAGGAAAGCTGCTACTTTGGACAGCCAGGGTGAAAATCTTCCATCACAAGAATAAAATTGCTATTGGATTAAATAGAACTAAATTGTGATCATATCTGTCTGCAAGATGATTAATAATGCCTTTTACATGATTGAAAAAGAGGCTCATATAGGACCCCTGGACAAGGTGGAAAACTACCCATGTGAGGGAGCCAGAGAGCAAACTAAATACCAGCAATACAAGGTTACCTTTTTTGCAGGCATATATGGAGACTGGGCAGTGTTTCTTTTGGATATCTAAGCCTACTGATTGAATTAGGTCAGACTAGCTCTCAAGGGAGTTGGTTTTTAAAACACACACACACACACACACACACACACCTAAATGACACAAGCAGCCTTTTAGTTTAGTGATTTTCTTAATGAGCATGGAGAGGCAAGCATCTGGAGAAGGAAAAAGTGTTTCCAATCGCAATTGAAAGGGATGCAAAGCATTGCGCTTGGAAATTACACTAACGCATATTTATGCAAGGCAAGAGGCAACTGGGCAGCCTTATACTTTCTGGAAGAGGCATATTAAATGCATAAGGAGAGAAAAAGTGTGAGTAGAGTGAGAGACGGAGGAAACTGAGAAAGGTGAAAGTGGGAGGCGAGCTTGCCTAGAATTTCAAACTCAGAGGAGGAGCTGCGGGTTCTGGTCTTGCCTTTGGCTGACTCTCTGCTCTTTGGCCAGAACGCCACCGGCTCATTCTTCAGTTTGCTCGCCTCAGGAGAGAGTCACAGCTATTCTGACAAGAGAGTGTAGAGGTTGCTAAGTCAGTAATTTCACATTTATAAGCAGATGGACATTCTTAGAGATTATATTAAGCATACGTTTGAGTGAAATATTAATTTTGATATAATATTTTGGAGATGAGATTTTTCTTGGACTCCTAAAAATACAGCATAGATTATCAGATATATGGAGGAACTGCCTTCTTCCCAAATAATGACAAAATTTTACCTCTTATATCTATTTTAAAACTTTTATATCCAGAATTTTCTATAACTGATGTCAGACTTTCAACACAAATCTGTATTTATTTGACTCACTTCACTTTCAGGAGTATAAAATTTGAAATGTCAAAACACTACCTTCATCATAAATGTGGAACTCACATATAATTTTTGAAGTCGTCATTCTTGTATTTTCAAAATGATTAAATAAACCGTTATGCTATTGATCATTTCCTACATTTTTCCAAACAAAAGAATCTGATATGAAATTGTCTATTTCACATATCGACCTAAGAAACAAATACTCATTTCCCCTCTTCCTTTTAATGTCAAAAATGTGTCATTATTGTGCTACTTTCTCTGTTGTTTTCATGGACACAAAGAAAAAGCAAACTCCTGAAAAAAATAAAGGAAGAAAAAAATGATTTCCCGATTTAAGTATTAACACTATTGTTATTAATAGTATGCTATGTTAACATACCACCATCTGCTAAAAATTATACAGAAAATAAACTGAGTCCGAAAGTAAGACCAGAATTATTAGAACAGACAGAATAGAATTTGTAGTATATGCACCCAGTACGTCTCATTTTTTTTTTTTTTTTCCTTCAGAGATATATTCTATTTGGTTGGTTTTATGGGGATCCCATGAAAATGAAAGTCGGTAAGTGTGGAGGATTGCTGATGCCCTAAGACTTTTCTTCACCAATATGCTCAATGAGAAAAAGGCCCCAGAGAAGTCTGGTCTCAGTAACTTCTGCTTTGTCTGAATCTTAATTTTGTCACATTTGCATCAAACTATGCGAGAAGACTAAAGCAGGATATGGGTATTTGTATTTTTCTGGGCCTTCCAGTTCTGTCTCTTTCAAACACACCTCATTAAATGCTGCCAGTGTGAAAATCCCAAACTAGCTGCTATGTGAATTGTGATCCACTGTCTGTGTCAGGAATAATACTTTGAAATAAAAAGAAAGTCGAAAGTTAGGAAACTCTTAAGCGAAGCATGGGTCTGGGTTTTTCTGTCATCTCCTTTTTTTCTCTTCTGTACAGATGCCATGTGCATAATCATGCCACCCCTGTTAACACAGGAAATACCTGCATATCAGAATGGGCATATCAGAATGGGCAACTGAGAGGATGTATTTTATAACTTCACAGGACAGTGAGAGTAGCCTTATCCGTGTGTTTTAATTTGTTCCAGGGACTAAGAAGAAAGGGAGGCAATAGCTATGGTCATTATGCTCTGTTGTCCATGTGTAACTAAGATTTTACTTTTAATTTGTTTCCTCCATCAATTTTGGAATCTTTCAAAGGCTTGCACTGAGCAACAATTTTATCATTGCCTTAGAGTGTGTGTGTATGTGTGTGGGTGTGTGTGTAATAGCTGTGAAATCATAGACCTAAATGAAAAGAGCTGCTCCTATAACAAGCTGGCTCTTCTCTCCTACAACTTTTCTCAAGGTCAAAATGTCCTACCTTGTCTTGAGGTGGATGGAATCCCAGGTTGCTTCAGAGGCAACCTGTGGTCACTGCAGATTTTGTTGTTGGATGTATAATAAGGAGAGGGTAGGGGTGTGGAGGACAAGCATACGTATCCTCGAGGGGGGAGTCACACTACTTTAAACTGGGCTAACAAATGTTTTATATGTATGTCACCCTGTGTGCATGATATATCTGCAAATAAACCCATCTCTATTTTATTCATAGTTTTAATGGCAAGTCTGTGTCATGGTCTGAACCAGGTGGAAGACAGGTGCCCAAGGGACAGCACATGTGGCACCGCCTCTCTGTACACGTGAAGACCAACGAGACGGCCTGCAACCAAACAGCCGTCATCAAACCCCTCACTAAAAGTTACCAAGGCTCCGGCAAGAGCCTGACCTTTTCCGATACCAGCACCAAGACCCTTTACAGCGTGGAGGAGGAGGGTGCCCGGCCGATCGGCTTCAGCCCGCCCAGCAGTCCCTCTATGGTGGTGCACCGACGCGTGCCGACCGCGGTGGTGAGCACCCCGCCTCTGCCGCCCCACCTGACCGCAGAGGAGACCCCCCTCTTCCTGGCCGACCCGGCCGTCCCCAGGGGCTTGCCCCCTCCCCTCCAGCAGCCGCCGCCGCCGCCGCCAGCGCAGAAATCCCTCTTGGACCAGCTGCAGGGAGTGGTCAACAATTTCAGCGCCGGGATCCCGGATTTCAACTCGGTGCTCGCAGTCCCCGGGGCTCCGGGGAACGGGGTGCGGCCCCTCTTCCCGCCCCCGGCGCCGCCGCAGCACCTGCAGATGCTGCCGCTGCAGCTGAGCACCTTCGGCGAGGAGCCCGTCTCCCCGTCGGCCGAGGACGACGACGAGGACGACAGCGAGAGGTTCAGGCTACTGCAGGAGTACTTGTACGAGCGGGAAGGGAACACGGAGGAAGACGACCTGGGGGAGGAGGGAGAGGAGCTGCGGTCGGCGAGCAAACCAACCCCGGAGGACTCGCCGGCCCTGACGCCTCCGTCCCCCTTCCGCGACTCGGCGGCCTCGGGCAGCTCGGCGCCCAGCTCCCCCGTGTCCGAGTCGGTGCTCTGCACCCCTCCCAACGCGACCTACGCCTCTGTCATCCTGAGGGACTATAAGCAAAGCTCTTCCACCCTGTAGGGAGGGGGTGTCCACAGGGGAAAGCAGGAGGGGTCAGGGGGCACCAGCACCTCCGGAGACTTGCAGAAGGCTGGGGGAGAAGCGGAGGCTGGAGGTGAAGTCAGGGGCAGGGACGAGATCGCGGCTGCCGTCTTAGCAAGGCCAGCGCGAGAGACGCGGGACTCTGCCCGCAAAAAGCGATCCAGGCGAAGATTCTGATGCTTGAATTACTCAAAAGCCTTCTCTGGGAAGAAAGGGAATTCTGACAAAGCACAATCCCATATAGTATGTAACTTTAATCGCAAGAATGAACAAAATCAACCAACATAATCTCTTCGGACCATTGTGCATAGATATACATGCCCACACCCTTGGCCCGTGTGGAAGGGGACAGCCCGGGAGGACCGCCCAGTTGAATCATTAGCTCGTCGTCATGGTATTCCCAGCGAGCATGGTGGAGTCCGACAGATCAGGTGGGTGAAGGAGGGGCAGGCGTGGAACCGCCCGGAGAACAGTGACGGACAGCAGCTCATTTCTCTCAAGACCTTCTCCCTACTGGACCCACAGACCCCTGGTCTTCGGGACACTCGGGAACTGGCCCCAGAAGGGGCCTCTGCTTGCCGACTGCACCCCATCCAGTGCCAGCCTTGCTGTCACACTTGGAGAAAGGTGTGTGGATACCTTGCTGCTTTGTGATTTCCCTCTATTTAGAAAATAGGAATAAGAGCAAAATTATCACCAAAAAGCATTTCATCAGGAGTGCTAAGGGAGGGCGGAATGAGAAGCAAGACAGTGCATAAGCTTGGGGCTTTGAACAAAATCAGTCAGCAAAAATCAGCTTCCCATATCTGATGCTCGCTTATTGGTGATTTCAGAAGTCCAGACAAGAGATTATTTTGAGAGTGGCAGAAGACTTTTTGTGGATTTACTTGTGTGCCAAGGGGGCTCTCCTTTGCCCTTACGTTAAAGAGAACAAACCATGTGGCAAAATTGTTACCTTCCATTTACTGTAGCAAATAATACTTACCAGTTGAACTTCTAAGATGCAGTATGTGTATTTGGTGCCATTGTTTCTCCTATGTGCTACAGAAACAAATCCATCTTTGAACTCAATGGTGTACTCATAGCAACTATTATTGGTTTAAATGACAAATAATTCTTTCTAATTGTCACTGAAGTCCCCGTAACTAGCAAGTGAATGTGTTCTTGTGTCCTTATATACCTGTGATAATGAAATTTGTGCAAAGTAATGTCAATCTAACTGCAATGAGATTGTCTTCCGATATAGTGTAGATATATTTATGTTCCAAATAACATTTTATATACCATTGCCATCGGTATTTACAGGAGCTCTTTGAAGGTTTGACTGCTTTGGTCCAATGTTTTTCATATGCTGCTCAGATGGTCCCTCTTCTTCTAAGAGGGAACTTATTTTTCAGATATTTTATGATGTGGAAATATGTTATTAATGAAGAGGTTTGAAAATGTGTTATACTAAAAGTTCGCAGAAACTGCGGGTAACAATAAAAAGGTACATTTTATAAACTCGCGCACATCATTATTAAAACATAAGATTGAAATGGCAGTATTTACATTATTTCACGTTTCTTTAGGGTTTGTTTGTTTGTTTTCTTCATTTGCCACAGCTTCTTGAGCTTTATGTGCTTAAAGCATATACTAACTTCTAAGTCTGGTCATGATTTCCCAAATTATATATTCATCACTTTTTGATCTCTTTTAATTTTTATTTCCACGTTCTCTTATTCCTATATTTTCACTCATAACTTGTCTTTTTATTTTTGTTATCCGCGGTGTATACTATCCACATACATGTGATCCAGTTGTTTGGTTTTTGCTCCCCCTTTTTCTCCCCAGTAAAAGAGATTTTTCTTGCTGTCTTGATTTCTTGTATTACTTGGGAATGAATCTTATCCCCTCAAGTGTCTTTGTTTATGCCTTATGTTCAGTCGTGTTTAATATGCTTCCTTCATGTTGAAGCTACTGATTTCTCAGCCAAAATGTATCTTAGACTCTTTAAATACTCACTGCATCATTTGTTCAGAATTTAACATCCACTCCAATGTTTGAGGCTCATATTTCTTATGTCTTCCCATATTCTACTGCCAAGTTTAGTCAGTTTTATATCAAGAATAGACTGCCTTTCCTTTTAAAAAATTACTTTATTACACCTTTGGTAGAAAGACCTCATGACTGAAACATGGATTTCAGTTCCATATTTTCACTGTCATGAAGCAGAATGAGGAAAAGGGATGGTTCCAATGCTTAATATATGGTCAACTAATTGGCAAACTAGCAAGGGAAAGTATATTATCTATTATTAGTGAAACAGGTCTTTTATCTTAATGCCACTGACATATGTTCTTAAGATCAGGACTTGTGCATTCAGATACTTTTAAAGTAAGACTAGATCAGGAAAACTGCTTCTATATCCAAATACTATGTCAGTTTGTCCTGAGGTTTTAGTCTGAAGCATTTGGTGAACGCATTCAACACCAGTCACATTATTACTCTGAATGCATACTATCACCATGATTAAAAGTTTTCCTGAATACAGTAGAGTACTAGCTCTTAAATTATAATTGTTCAAAACTGGAAATGTACACATACATACCCTATAGGAAAAGGACAGAAACTTTCCACCTTAATGTATGTGCTTATACAAATTGCATAGCTCTTGTAAAAGTGTCTTCCTTTGGCTTGTTACTGTCTGTTGTCAATCTTGATACTGCTGTATAATAAATATTTTCTATTTATTAAATGTGTATGTTCCCTCTCTCTACTTTGTAAGAGTGACAATAATAGAAACAGACTGACTGGGATAAAAAATAATTTCAATGGTTTTGTTTGCTCAGCACATGTCTTCTAGGTGAAAGCTGGAGATCACCACACAGAATCTACCGACCAGGTAGGTGACAAAGTAGAGTATAATTTGATCATGAGGAAGGCTGTATCTCGAACTCGAACGTTTAAAATGAAATCCAGAATTTAAATTTTCAGTGTTGTGGCAGACATTGTCGTCTACCTTTTTTGATAGAATACGTGAGGCTTGACAAACTCCTGCATCTCCAGCAGAGATTTAGAGACAGAGGCATCTGAAGGCTCCATCTTCGTTTCATTTGTGCCCCACACAGATTTTCTTCCCTTGGTTCACACTCTAGGGGCACCTGGTTTCTTACCTTGTTGATATCCTCCTGCTTATCGCAAGTTCCATTCCCTTATATTTCAATGGAGACATCACTGGTCCCCAGAACAAGGGAGCGTCTTTTATTCACATCTCTAGATAAGATGCCTACAAAGTAAGGCATCTACCAAGTGTCATTCAAAGAGAAAACTTGGTGGTACCAGGGCCACATCCATGAGACTGTGGTGCATTTAGATGGAAAGAGCAGCCTCTATCCAGGAAGGCTGATGTTGAAGAAATTACCAGAATCAGGAGCTGAGACACCAGGGGTTTCTTCACTGTGCCCAGAAAATAGAATGAGAAGTTATGAAATGGGGGCTTGGTCTCATGAAGAAAACCAATGGGAGAGAAAATGAGAAACAAAGAACAGGGGAAAAAAAGAAACAAGAAAAAAAATGAAAATATTTCAGGTGTGCTGTCCAAAGAAACACCCATATACCATGGTGGGTCATAAGGGCCTCCACTTGGAAAGTCCGGAAGCTGCATCACAGTGGAGACATTTGGAAAAGTTGAAATTGGGATCCAGATACCACAAACATTGTATGAGGAACTGCCCCAATAATTTCTATCCTGAGAAGCAATCAAAGAGAATGGAAACAACATTTTTTTAACCTACTCTGTGCCAGAAATTTTGCAGGTCTTTTGCATTCCTTCTCCTTTAATCTTCCCAGTACTACTGCCACAAGGAATACCTTAGAGAACTGAAATAACGTGCCCAAAGTCTCTTAGCTAGTAAGTGGCTCAACAGGGAATTGACCCCCATCCTAAGCCAGCACAGAGCCTATGAACTTGTGTTCTTCTCCGGAGCCCAGGATACTATGTAGGAGTTTGTGTCTGTTGTGACTGCTCCCCATTTTGTATTCCCATAGTATTTTATACACATCCCAGATTACATCATAACTTACATGTCTCTTTTCCCTGAATAGATTTTTAGCTCCTTTTTGCTTTCTAATACCTGATTTCTGAGGCTTCAAGGCAAAGCAGACACTCAGTAAATGTTTGTTGAGAAAGTAAATGAGTATTGTAACACCATATAGTTTTCCCAGCCCAGTTCTCTGAAGATTTGCTCCAAGATCCTTATGGGGTCCAGAGCTCTGTATTTCTACCTACCGGTCCTAAATCTGCCAACAAGAACAACACATGTTTTCATCGTGAAAAACAAGCTCTACTTGTGGCATCAGAGAGAGTTGTCCCACTGGGCAGCAGGTCTGCTTTGCCTGCAGAAGAGGGTGGCAATACTCAGTATCCACTGAGCCCAGCCAGAGGTCTGGCAAGGCAGTACTCGGTGTGGGAAACAGCGTCCTCTGCAGGAGAATTGCAGGTAAGACACAGACTGCTGAAGAAGGCAACAGTTAAAGTGAGGACAAATAAGTCGTCCATGGGGAAAGCATGGGCTGGGGGTTCCTTCCTTACAGAAGAACATCCCTTTAGACAAAGTAAAAGGCTAACCCGGTCACCAAGGCTTGGGAGAACATGGGAGAAAAGGAAAGCTTAGGTAGGGAGTTTAAGTGGTGATGCTATTAAACTGGAAACTGGCTTGATTTTCCCAGAGTAGCTGGAGAAGCAATGCTTATTATAGATTAATAGACAAGGGAGAAAAAGCTTAAGAATGAGGATAACAAAAAGTGACAAGAAAAAGAATCATAGCAGTATAGAGCTGGAAGTAAATTTAGAAAGAAGTCACTTAAGCTCTCACCTCAGTGAGGATTCTATTCCCTTGTGTCCTGTTCTTCCCGTGTCAGGCAGGGACCAAGTGAGAAGCCACCGCCATCTGGGGTAGGACAGCAGGAGGGACTGGGGGTAACAAGGCCAACTGCCA